CCAAATGCCCGGCCGTCGGCGCGCCAGGCCGATATGGTCTCCGATCACCGCGTCCCTTTCAATGCTACCGTCCGAACGTGCCCATGCACTGGTTGAACGTGTCCATACACTGTTCGAACCTGTCTTCTCCGACGAGGTCGGTGCTTTTAAAGGGCCGCTCCCTATTGATCGTACTGGCGCGCATCTCCGGATCGAGCACTTGGGCCAAACGTAACAGCCAAAAACCGTACTCGCACATTGAAAAAAACAGCGGGTGGTCCGGGACGGATTATCACGCCGCGCGCGACATCTGAAGCTAACCTATTCAATCGCGCCCCCCGGGATTACAAAATACACAAGTCGCAAGAATGACGTAACTGCACTAAAAAACATTGTGACCCGCGGCGGATAGGTACGCCGCGTGCCACAATATGCTCCCGAATACGCCATTTACGTCATGGGGCTCTTTGAAGTGCTCCATGACGAAGGTATGGGGTCGCTACGAACACCAATCTGAATTTTGACCTTGTTTGACCTTACTGGACCCGAAGGTTTAGATCTAAGAATCCAAATTTTTGACACAAGTGAGTTTGCATGCTGCCTAGCACACCCTGTAAATTTTGTGTCTCTAGTTCTCTTCGTCTTTCTAGGTCTCAGGGGTGGGGGGTCAAATTTACCCCCACCCGAGCGTAGGCATTTAATCGATCACCGGGGCGCGTGTTTAAGGGAATTTTCCACATATGAAGATACTGAAGCAGGCATCAGGTATGGTTAAACAATTTCACTAACAACCATCGTTATACTTCGAAGTAAAAAAAAACTGGTCCAGACATTACAACTTTTCTGTTAAGTCAATACGTTCCTCGTTACGTCATTGCTTTATTATGTCATCGCATCTTGCAAAACATTGATTGAGAGGCAATTGACAGACCGTTTTATCTGGAAATCATGCTCCTAAACATCAAATATGGGAGACTCGACTATTCTATTTGTCTTGGCCCTGATCGCCGCATGGCTTATGAAATGGCAGGATTTGAATGACGTTATTATGACGTCGGGAATATCGAGTTGATATTGAAATAACTTCCCACGAATGCTTTCTCATATATTTGCGATCTCTAATCTCAGGAACCATTACGTTTTTGGTCTTAAAAAGGACATAACCGTAAGCTGCATCGAAAGGTGTTCAAGATGGCTATTTCAGCTTAAATCCCGCACAAATGTGGAACACTCCCATGAGTATCTCATCAGCCGACGTGACCTGTTGTCTTCAAATCAACCCTTGACAGCGCGTTGCTATTTGCAGCTCTATTGCCTGCATCGTGATGACGAGCACACGGAGGTTTGTGGGAAATACGCAAGTTCGTTAGCGAAGCGTTTTCCGTATTTTCAACCTTTCAGCTTCATATGTCCACCTGCACGAGGTCATGTCTCGTACGGATACGAAACCTTAACGGGCTTGTCGTGCTGAATTCTGAATTCATGGGAGCGTACTTCCATGCGTTTTGAGCACATATTTATCATTGGCCAAGTTTTGAGGTCTCTAGGTCATGGCCTTCAGGTTCGATAAGGTCAACAAAGTCAAACTCCAGATCGGTGTATGAAGTCCTCAGACCCCCTCATGCAGACACCTTTAAGATAGAGATCTCTACTAAACAAACGCTCGCCGACCTGCATAATAGACCCAAGCCCGATGGAATTAGTCATGATCCTTAGGTACCGCACCCTCTTGTCAAAGACATCGTATCAAAGATGTGTGGTTACGTCTAACACTCTGCTGTCGCATCAGATTGAACGATTCCCTAGGAATTACTTTTGCTGGCAGGCAGAGCATGCCTTTAACCTACCATAAGAAAACGACTTTACAAGGCACATATATCACAAGGCACGTATTAGCATTGATACCAAAAGATGGCCTGTTTCATTGGCTACACCTATGCCAAGCTGAACCCGGCTACAACGCGCAGTTCGGAAGTTATTTTGGAAAGACCTTCGGATGGGAACGTCAGATTACCCACGCCCACACAAGCACCTGTTAACACACGCCCCAGTGGCCGCTTGGCATTCATCACTCGGGTGGGGAGGGATCAATTTGGAGCCCACCGAGGCCTAAAAAACTAAGATAGCTACTGGTACCAGGAGTTTCTGGGCCCGATTTGGTACTCTCTACCCCATAAAGTGTTAATCTGAATTTGGATACTCTACGTTAGTAACAAGGCCTTAAGTTGGGAAAAGGAGCAATCCAAAAATCTGGGGAGGCGAAGGCGTACTATTGCTTCTTGCGTCCCCCTGCTACGCCGTCCGCGGTTTCTACAGTCTGTTACGTCGCAAAGCTACAAACCTACATTTAAACCTACATTTTATCCCAAGAGGTGCTAGTTTAATTTCGTTGAAACCTTGATGCATATAGATAGTGTAGAGATTTGCAATTGCGCAGGGAGTCCGTGGCAGTGAATAAAAGTGAGCCAGAAATCGCGCATGTGAGACGCAACTGCGCAGCAGACATTTTTCATTTGCGTTGATGTAAAGCGGCGCCTACAATAAGGGTAGTCAGGGCCCGAGCTTGTAAGGGGATTATAGGTGGGTTAGCTGCGGCATGAGGGCGTTGTGGATGCGAAAGGGGAGCTATTTTCGGCTGTTTATTCGGTTTCTTTGCACTGCACTGCTGTGTATTGATGTTTGGTGACAACCCTGTTTGGTGGATGGTATGCCAGTTTGCAATTTATGGTATTCTATTGACACCTAGGATGAAGATACGTTAATGAATTACATTGCTATGCCACGAATCTTTGTTTAGAACTGGCACAAGTGTCTATTTAGCTGGCTTGTGATGGCTGGCTGGCTGGCTGGTTTCAGTGTTGTGTGCTGTATGCAGGAAATTTAATAAACATCAATATGATTTATGTCTGTATGGGAAGAAATGGCGATAATATGCATGATTCAGGTGTGTGCTTCATCTTTACTTTAAAAAATGAGTGCCCTTCTGTGAAATGCTGTGTGTACACCTGCTTACATGACCTGTAATTCTGAAACATCCATTTCTCCTGTTCTCGTTTTGCAACCTACGGGTGTGCCCATTTTATACTATGCTCTATTATGTCAGGATTCTTCAAGTACTGCACCATTATGTGCAGTTCAGGAACACTGTGTGGTGTGCACATTACCTTTTATAACTGGCAATTCAGTTGCAGTACTACATTAGGACAGGTACTCCCTGATGTTGGCTATTAAGTGACTAAGGCTAACCTGCCATAAAAATTTAGGAGTGTCCTGATGGGCACTGTGTAATGTGTCATACATCTCAAGGTATCACTGGTATCAAGCATTACCACTACAGCTTGCAGGAAAATATATTGTAATTGTGTCCATAGCTCAACTGGTAGATGGTCTGCAACATCCCCTTTGGCTCTCTGGTTTGCTTGTGAAAGAAATATGATAACAGTCACTGATAAACTGGAAGCATTAGATATCTCATGGTGTCTGTTGGGGTATCATGGACAAATTTTGGGTAAAATGCTTGCCTTGTTTGCCTGTAATCATCTACCTTGCAATACAAGTTGAGTGTTTTACAAGTACTCTCAATCAGGGCTGTACCTTCATCAACTAAGTTGGGGGAGAGACTGAGTTGCCACTAGTTGAACATACCCGAAAATGAACAGTGAATATGTTTTTCTCCAGATTTCCCCAATTTGTTTTTTTCTATTATATATTATTTTATGTGTATTATCTATATATTTCTATTATTATATTATATATTTTCTCCAGATTTCCCCAATGTTCTTTATCCAAACATCTGTGTTTCAGGGGTGGGGAGCTAGAACAATATAGGAAACTGCAGCCTTGTTCCATACCAAAATGATGCAAAACTGTCCAGCATCAGAATAATGAAGATCTTTAGGTCAGCATGTTGTCATTTCTCCTCACCACTTTTTTGAACTGTGTCAGCCTACACAGTACACTTAACTGCGCCTTGCATGAGCATAACACACTATAAAGTATTATACACTTTTGATAGCAAAGATGTCCCTGGAGTTACATGCAAATGGGAATGAATGCAAAGTTGTGGTGATACAGATAATAATATTACGTTCTTTTTTCTTTCATTAAGGGTAGCTATTTATTATTTTTTTCATTAAATTGCCTTAGAGATGGGTTGAGTTAAATTGCCTTGGCTATGGCATTTTATCCATTTTTCGAAAGTTATATGCACAAAAGTGCTAAGGGCTCAGCAAAAAGGGATTTGAATGAACTGAAATATATTTGAATGTTACAAATCCAGAATTCTGAAAATGAAAATGCAAATCCTGACAGCCAGCTTCAAATATTATTTAAACTATTGAGTGCACTGGTCTCAAACAAAGAACTTGGTTGGTGGCTCATTGTCATTTTATAAACTCAATTTGATATGATTGTCTTGAATATGCATTACAGGAAATCACCTGTCCTGTCTTATTACATATACAAATAATCTATATTTGGAAGGATTTATGTTTGAGCTGCCAGTAGGAGCATTTAGAACAGCTAGCCAGAAATCTATGAAAGCTGTTTAAAAGCTGGAGTTACTCAACATTACAAAGTTTTACTGTTCAATGCCAAAATTTGAGCCTAGTTTAATCTTAATCTCTTTAATTTTGATCTGAATTCCAGATTGTCCATTGTGTGGTATGAATCCCAAAATTTATGTGAAACTTCAGCTGCAGGGTATGCTTTGTTCTTTATTTTTTACTTCAGACAGGCCAGTCCACTTATCTGGAGATCTGCATTCATTATCAGCATTTTGCACTGTCACATAACACACTCATCTTGTAACATTCCGTATATATCTTTGCTAGGTCTCTCTACTTCACCACCTGTCAGAGCTTTTACCGCCAGAGCCAGAGCCCATTTTTCCACCTTGAGCTTGGGCAGCAAATGCCACTAGTGAGCATATTAACTACTATTGACACATCTCCCCCATTCTACCATATTTGTGGGATAACCACGCAGCTAATGCAGGGCATCGTCTTGTCCCACAGGGCAGGAGGCGCAGAGGCTCTCTCCCTTGACCTTTTGTCATCCTCTGAACACCAGCCATGTCACTGCTGTGGGAGGACAGGGAGGTGCGGTTCGACATAGCACCATCGCAGATGAAAATGCGACCTGGCGAGCAGCTGATCGATACATTAGACTCTGTGGAAGACACCAAGGGTATGTACGTGCGTGCGTGCCTCCGGTAAACGCAAGGTGTGCTTTGCGAGTGAGCTGTGACACAGGCGTGGCCCGCACTAAATGACATTGGAAATTGAAATGACGAGAAGCGAGTTCGTCGCATTGGAGATCAACGGCTGTTTGCTGCTTTCTCAGATCGTCACGGTGGAAGCGCCCATGCTGTTCAGACAGTCGGTGACCGTGACTGTCGGTGCTGTTCACACCGTCTGCGCAAGTGACGACTTCCTTATGGTGCGAGTCCTCAGCTCGGTAGTGGGTGATGACGTAGTTTCGCATTTATGCCACCATTGTGACAAGAAGCGAAGGCGGTGACCGTCTGTGTGATGACAGGACAGCAGTGAACATCTGTGCAAGGACATAGAATGGTGGTGACCGTCTCTGTGACAACAAGCAACATCGGTGACCGTCTCTGTAACAACAGGCGAAAGCGGTGACTCTCTCTGTGACGATAGGTAACAGCGGTGACCGTCTCTGTGACAACAGGCGAAAGCAGTGTCCGTCTCTGCGACGACAGGCTACAGCGGTGACAATCTCTGTAACAACAGGCAAAAGCGGTGACCGTCTCTGTGACGACAGGCAACAGCGGTGGCCGTCTCTGTAACAACAGACAACAGCGATGACCGCCTCTGTGACGACAGACCTTAGCGGTGACCGTCTTTGTAACGAACTGGTAACAGCGATGACCGTCTCTGTGACAACAGGCGAAAACAGTGATCGTCTCTGTAACGACAGACAACAGCGGTGACCGTCTCTGTGGCGACAGACAACAGCGGTGACCGTCTCTGTGGCGACAGGCAACAGCGGTGACCGAGGCCGGATGCTGGTGACAAACCTGCGCATCATCTGGCACTCGCACGCCATGCCGCGCGTCAGCCTCTCGGTCGGCTACAACTGCGTGCTCAACATCACCGTCAAGCAGGTGAACGCTCTGCTCGGCTGTGGCCAGCCCTCATAGCGCTGGCCTTGCTCACCGCTGCTGACATCGGCCCCGCTGTGGTGGTGACGGCGGCTCCGGTGTTTTCCCAGCGATAACCACGACCCTAGGCGGGCTTGTCTTAAATACTGATTGACGCTTTGTGACATCTCACTGAAATACGTGCTGGGATTACTGGTCTTACTGGTCCAATGCTGACACCACGAAGGGATAGTGACAAAATTGAAGAAGACAGTATTCCATATAAGAGAACACTCCGTCCGTACTCATACGCTGCGAAATATTTCACTAAAATGCAATGTGGTGGCCCACTTCCTGGCTGTGGTTTGTGTGCAAGACATGTCAGCTCCGATGCATGCAGACTATGTTTATGAGCTACTCGACGTTTAAAGATCTTTGAACATCGAGGTGTTGTTAAAGCCGTGTTAAAACTGTCATACCGTAGGAAATGAAAAGAGCTTCGTCAATATGACCACTATCCACTTGATTACGTCGATTTACTAGTCTATGCTGGTATTCTGAATGTCGATTACTGTCAGCATAAAACCCCGGGGAAGAACACGTGCCGGGCTAGCCGGTTGGATGCGACGCTCTTGGGCGGGGAGTCAGTTTAGCCCCCCCCCCCCCCCTTCCCAGCACAGCAAAACCGAACTGAAAGAGCTAGAGACAATGGATTCACAGTGCAAGTAGGCCAGTATATTTTTAGGCCAGCCAATTTTTAGGTCTCAAGATCACGACCTTCAGGGTAAAAAGAGAAAACAAGCTCAAACTCCACATTGTTGTTCGAAGCGTCCTCAGACCTGCTCATGCGGCGACATTTAACTTAGATACGTCTACTAAGGAAAATCTGGTGTCCATCTCAGGGCAGTGACATTATTTTGCCTCTAGGTCACAATGACTCAACACTTTCGAGATTGTTTTGATACTAATATGAATGTACGTCGATAATTATTCTCTGTGGTATTTCCTGACAAACGTTGACAGCAGTTGGTTTAGGTCAGTGATCTCTGACCATCATAAGATCAAAATAGCATATATATATATATATATATATATAATATATATATATATATATATATATATATATTGACGTCCCTGTGATCAAGATATTAAAAATGAGCGCCAGAGATTATTCCGTAAATCAGTGTGTACCACAAAGAGACAAGTTGATTTTGATCTCGGTCTAACATTCACGCCTGGCTCAAGCTCAGTACAATGAGTCGCAATCCTACAATGAAAGCATGCTTTTGTCTAAGAAGCCGTCTCAAACACTTATGGTTTCGCCTAACAATCCGTTTTCGTATCAGATTGAACGATTCCCTTGGAATTGCCATCGCTGACAGACAAGGCCTGACCGTGACCTGCCATAGGTCGGCGACCTTACGAAATGCAGCTATTGTCATACCAAAAGATTTGCTAAGAACTTTCCTGGCAACTGAACAAAAAAGTTTGCGGCGGCTACGCTGAGCTGTTCCAGGCTATCCCCGAGCAAAATTTTAGGGTCGAGAAGTCAGATTGACCCCCGCCCCAAGATATATGAAGTCCTGTTTGCTTATTTGGGGTCAAATGCTAGTGGCACTCCCGGTAAATGGACCCCTTATACTTTTTGTGATGCTTCCTTCATTTATTTGCTAATCACCGTTATTTTGCCGGGCATGGCAAAAGCAACGCCCGTAAACAACTCAATGAGAGCCCCAGCAAAGATTATACTGCGTTAGACATTACTACAAGACAGGCTCCTTCAAGAAAATCATGGACAGTTCCACGCATCAGCACAGCTTGTATCTGACCAGCGGCGTACTGCGCTGTATCTGAGCTGTTCACCGCACTCCACCTAGGTGAACTCCAAGCTACGCGGTATGACCGAGGCCCTGTACATCCTCACCAAGTCGGGCAACACTCGCTTCGAGTTCATCTTCACCAACCTGACGCCGGGCAGCCAGCGCTTGTTCACGTCCGTCGGCGGCGTGTACAAGGCCTACACCAGCTCCCGGCTCTACAGGTGAGCGAGAGCTGCACCAGGGCTGCGCTGGCAGGTGGGGGTCTACGTGCCACCTGTACAGGATGGCGGGTCTAAATGCACTCACTGGGGTCTGCTCGGGTTGCCGTACAGGCTGTGCTTGTAGCTGAGGCATGTTGGGCCGGGAGCTTTGACCTAGTGCCGGGTCGAAAGGTGGGCAGGATTGCTCTCGTCAAGAGGCGCAGGCATCATGGATGGTAAAACGGAAAGAGCAACTGGTAGAGCACTGAACCGCGATCAGAAGAACCTGGTTCGGATCGCAGCAATTCCGAGGAGAGGACTCGCGTTATGACGCATACATGGCTGAAAGTCAAATGTCATCCAGTCCTTCTCAGAGTTTCATGACGACTAGCAACGACCGGGCACTTAATTATGCTAACCGTTTTGTACCTGAGTACTCAGCAGACGAGTACGAAGGCCCGAATGATTGTTCCATATGTGGTACTAATACCTCGCCTCAATCCTTCCGTAAAAGTATAGGCAGGTGCTGACATCATCACAACAACACAACACGTAACAGGGCCTTCCGAGCCCCTCTTCATGTGACCCCCATACCCTCCCCGGACAGGGAGCTGAAGCTGCGCGGCGCCATCGTCTCCAACAAGCAGTTGCGGCGGTTGCCGCAGGAGGAGATCGTGAGCCGGGTGGACGGCGTGTGGAACCTCTCTTCCGACCAAGGCAACCTCGGCACCTTCGTCATCACCAACGTCCGACTCGTTTGGTTTGCCAACATGAACGAACAGGTGCGCGGCGCTGGCGCGGCGGCTTGTGCAGTGGCGAGAGGGGGGGGGAGTGGGTGGGTAGGGGGGGGACGTCGAGTTGCATTGGAATGGCTCAGCACCGAGTGCACTCAGCTGGAAATGACCTGTCGCTGGTCACTTCGAAGTGCGGCGACGAATCGTTGTATACTTGCCTTCAGAGGCGTGGTGGATCAAATAAGACTATCGATGTGCCGTTAAGTTATGTTGAGAAACACGTATTTCACAATTTTGTTGAGTCCGTTTTTAAGCGAAAAGAGGTTCGGAAACTCGCTTAGCCCTTGTCCTGATTCGCCGTTTTTCATAACGCGGACTGGCAGGGGATGCGACCCCTCGCCCCCTGCGTTTCCGAACTAAGAAAGGTAGAGCTTGGCGAAAACCACCGATGGGTTGGTTTCAACGAGGCCTCGGAATTTAGATGACCTTTTATCTCATTAGGTCAGCAGTTGACCCCATTATGCCAGGTCAAAGTTAAATGTGTGTCAAAATCGCACTTTTTCAGCCTTACAACATTGTCCATACGAAACCATGCTTCGTGGCGATACAAAGCCTAAAGTTCATGTTTCTTGTTCAATTATGACTACATTGGTGTAGGCGTGTATGCTCTGAGTCTACGTGTATGAGATATGGCTCTGTTAATGTAACCGTGTGGCCCCGCCGCAAGCGTTCCGCGCCGGACGTGGGTCGCCTCGCAATGCTCCTGAAAATCCGCTGCTGGTCAGACCAGAAAAGTTAGGAACAAGTTTTGTTAAAACGTGCGTAGTGGATGCCCCATAACCTGCTGAAAGCTCATCAGGATGAGGGCTAACCCTCGTAGGGGGATTAGGAGAACCCTTCGTAACGAGGAAGCGGCCGATACGACCCCCTCACCCCTTTGAGTTTTTCTGAGGATACCTTTCCGGCATGTCGTACAAGGGTGTCCAAATTTTCAGTAGCTTATGGGGCATCCATTGCGCGTATTTTGATTAAAAAATGTGTCCCTAGCCTTTCTCGTTTTGAACAGCGGTGGTTTTTGGGCAACACTGTACGACGACCTACGTCCTGCAAATGCGGGAGGAGGCAGTAGACGATGCCGCGGAACGCGCACGGCGGGCCGACTTTGTTACACTAACGAGGCCATGCATTATGAATATATGGTCAAAACACAAAACCACGCACCATGTAGGTCGAAATTGTACAAGGAACACACCTGTGTAGTTTTCGTGCCGTTACCAGGCATGGTCTCGTGCATGTGAGCATGCGAACCTAAAAAAGTCTATTTTCGGGTAACTTTGACCTTGGACCTGACATAATTGGTTGATTATTATCCTAGCGATATGACAGTCGCGTCGCCAGTGCGTAATGTCAGTCACGAGATACTCGTTGAAGCAAATCCACTGATGTTTTCCACTAAGCTCTATCTCTCTTAGTTTGAAAATGGCAGGAGTCGCATCGCCCCCCCCCCCCCCCTCCCAAGAGTTCGCGTTATGAAAAACGGAGAACCAGGGTAGTGCTCCTGGCGAACGGCCCAATAGCTTATGTTTCGAGCTATAACTCAAGAGCACATCATTAATTGTACACGATCTACCACAACGCAGTTATCTAGGCCTACTCGGAGACAAACCCCTTCTTTACGCTACATATCACTGAACGCCTGGAATGCAAGCGTTACTGGTTTGTAGAAGCTGTTACGCCCTTAGGCGAATACGCCCCGCCACCAACAGGCCACCTTTCTTGTCAGCCCGAAGCGAATGCCTCTATCTTTCACTGGTCGCTCGCCTGTGGAGCCTGTGGAACAGACTGCTAGACTCAGGAACGCTAAATGCCACGTGTTTAGGCGCGGCATCGGCTAAAACGCTATGTAAAACTGATGGACAAGGCCATGTGGAAATGCTCCGCTTATTGAGCGATCTGCCTCTGTCCAGTTCAACATGTCGCTGCCGTACCTTCAAATGGACTCGGTTCGCACGCGGGACTCCAAGTTCGGCCCGGCGCTGGTGGTGGAGTCCACGGAGAGCAGCGGCGGCTACGTGCTCGGATTCCGGATCGACCCCAAGCAGAAGCTGATGGAGGTCTACAAGGAGCTGGACTCGCTCTTCCAGGTGGGCGGCGCGCCGCGACATCGGCTGACGAGCGCCGCAGCGTCCGTTGCATGATCACGAGTCCTCACGGCAGATGCGCTGGCTGTGCTGGTCTGTGGCACGTGATCAATGCTTGTGTCCCGATCCCCGGGCGTGTTCGTGTACCGATTGATCCAAACATTTTCCGAGCGATAGAAGTATCTGTTTTGTGCCGGCTCGGGGTGTTCGGAGTGGTCGGGACGAGGGGCTAGATATATTTGGTGTGTTAAACAAGTATGCACTGCTATTGATATACGAGAGGTAATGTACTTTCGCCAGGCAAGAGGTGTTTATGAGGCAAGAGGTGTTTTTACAAGAGGTGTTTATGCACCGCTGCCACGTGTACAAGGAAAGTTGTGTTGCGCTTTCGCCAGGTGTAACGGAGGCTGTTTTGTTGCACCGTCATCAGAGATGCATGGGGTGTTAGTGTGCTGGCACCAGGTGCACAAGGGGTACTATTGTATCGTCGCTAGGTGTACTGGGGATACTTTTGTACCGTCGCTAGGTGTGCTAGGGGTTGTAATGTACTATATCTGTTTGTACAAGAGATGCCCTCGTCCCGACGCCAGGTGTACAGGAAGGGAGTAATGTGCCGTCTCCAGGTATACAAGAGATGTCCTTGCGCCGTCGCCAGGTGTACAAGGGATGGCATTGTACCATCTCCGCGTGTACAAGAGATGCCCCCGTCCCGCCGCCAGTTGTACAAGGGATGGCATTGTACCATCTCCGCGTGTACAAGAGGTGCCCCCGTCCCGTCGCCAGGTGTACAGCGAGACGCCTGTGTTCGGGGTGGAGTACACGCGCGACTGCGAGAGCGCTTCGATGACGGCGGACCAGCTGAGCAACGACATGGACAATATCGCCGAGATCGACGACACGGAGCCGCCCGCCGACACGTTTGCCTCCTATTTCGCCGACGGCGACCACGCGCAGGTCAGAGGCTGCCTCGGCGTCAGTGGACGATGGTGCGGCCGCTGCTGACCCATGGTGCTGGGTAGATGACGCCGGAGTGCGTCGCTGCTGCTGTGATTGCACGTGGCACTGACGCTGGCTTTGATGGAGCCAAGTAAGGTGATGAGCTCTTGGTGAATCGGCATTGTGAGTTGGAGTCATTACTCTGACGTTGATCGGCCTTCAGTGCTCCAGAAGGTACTAGTTGAAGGGAGTGTTCCTGATTTGTATGGAGTTTTCAACGGAAATGGCGGCGGTACGATCATGCAACGAACGATCGTTCAGATATTACGTCAGAGAAATGCTATTCAAATCCTGCCACCTGATTGGCCATGAGGCGTTCAAGGCCAACAAGAATATAATCGTTAAGTTGTTCATATCTGGCGTTCGTGAGCACGATTTTCAGACGGAACAAACGTCAATTGATTCTGAACCAGTGTTGTGTAAGTTGTGCCAATTTCAGTCACGAATCACGTCATGAGCTTCATAATGCAAGAAGTTGTACATGGGTCCCATTCATTACAGAAATGAGACTCAGATCTAATAACTTAATGATAGCGCAATAACTGAGTATGTGAATACAAGAAAACACGTTAAACTCACGGACAAATGTGCAAGAACACCCCGAAAAGTGGCCAGATCACGAGCACGTAACGATGCTGGTTCAGCACACACCTCCAGCACCACCGCGGCCATCTCGGGAAATCAAAGTACTACAACTGGGAACTAGGGTGGTATTTCGCATGGTCGGTTTGGCAGCACCCAGCGTCATACAAACCTTCCATGATGCAATGAATGATGTATTGCGGGGCATATGTACTAAAATTACCCATTTATCAAAGTAGGCTTAGTTCACCGTATTTGGTGTTTGCTTCATTATCTTTAAACGTGAACATTCCCTCTAAACGACGTTGTCGAACAAGCGTAGACTGCAGTGGTAAAACGCAGGTCTTCCCTCATAACGTTTGACCAGTGTTTAACCATTACCTCTTGGAACTATAAATTAACCGTACTGGAGGTCGTTCATTGTCAGAATAAGAACCGCCATCTCGTGTATGTCTTGTGGGCCACCTGTTCTGACCGGCCGCCTGGTGTCGCCAGGACCGGGAGCCGGTCTACTGTCCCGAGCTGGGGCTGGCGATGGAGCGGCTCAAGGACGGCTTCACGCTGCAGAGTCTGTGGCAGGTGGTGCCGCAGTAGAGCCCGCGGCCAATGCTGCCCCTGCAGAGCCAGTGCCGCCCCCGGACGACGCCCGTCGCCGCGCGCGCCGTGGGCGGGGGTGCACAGAGGGCGAACGTGGAGCCTGTATGTTTTGCAGAGTACGACAGATGGGAGATGATCTCGCTACCTCCCGCCCACGTCGGTGCCAGCGGCGAGACAGGAGGCTGTGCTATCTCCCCGCCACCGCGCCAGTCTCCTCCCGCAGCCTGTGGACTAGCGGGTGTAGTGAGGGTCGCGCCCGTCCGCAGCCGGCTCATCGTCGTCGGTCTCGCGGCGCGCCGCCCTCACCGATCAGCTCCGGCAAAGGCCGCAGCACCGCCGTGACTCTCGTTAGTGCGGCGCCGCGCGAGCGGGGAATGTGTGTGCAATGCGACCGCGGGTGGAGCGGCGCCGACTCCGTCCGACTGCGTTCCGTCCAAGAACACAACTGCGCTCCTGCCCTGCCGCGGGTCGTCCCTGTCTGTTCGCACAAGCGCAGCCGACCGGGGCTGCGCACCTGGGGTCAGCTTTTGGTCTTGATAGGCTCCGTTGTGAATGGTGTCATGTGGGGCGGGTTTGCACGTGCAGATCTCAGAGTGGCCAGCCAGCTGAGGCCGATGCCGAAGCCGAAGCCAAAGTCAAAGCCGAAGCCGAAGCGAATCGAGTTGTGTGTCGCCAGAAGCTTCAGCAAGGCGCGTGTTATCCGACGCATCACTTGTGCAAAGCTTGCTTTCAAGCGGAAAGGGACGAATCTAGTCAGTCATCACGCGTCAAAATGCCCGTGCACTTGCACTCATATCTTATGGGGATATTGGTTGGATGTGTCAATAAAAGTGTTGCACCTTGTGAGCGTTTGTTTCCACACGGGCAGCGCTGGACAGAGTTCGAAAAGCAGGCTTGGCTGACGGTGACGGTGACAACCTGCAGCAGTTACTGTCGACGCGCGGGTGATTGACGCTGGTTGTGGTCTGCGCGGCGTCTGCAGTCGGCGAAATACTAGCTCGCGGCGGCTGTGGTCCGGCAGCGAGTCGGGCGAGGGTAGGGGGGGGGGGGGGGAGAGCCTGGTGTCTGTTACTAGCGCTAGCCAGTCCGTTCAAGACTGTACATGGGTCGCCGTAGTGTCCGGGGCACGCACAGACTGCAGTATCATTCACCGGCGATGGCCGGACGTCAGATTAACTCGCGTCTCCGTTGGCTGTCGAGCATGGCAGAAACTCGTACGTGTTGTGACGTCGTTCACTCTTGCCGTAGGCACGAATAACTTGCAAACTACGCTGGCATGTTCTGTTGGAGTTGCCACTCGTTGAAGACTGGTGAAAACGAAAGCTAGAAAAGCTTCCAACGCGCGCCAGCTGCTGAAATTTTGTATTTATGGTCATTGACAAGTATCTGTGCTATGCTCGCTTCGTGGCACCGTCAACAGCACGCGCGCACGCACGCACGCACGCACGCACGCACGCACTCACGCACGCACGCACGCACGCACACACACACACACACACACACACACACACACACACGCACACACACACACACACGCACACACACACACACACACACACACACACACACACACACACACACACACACACACACACACACACACACCACACACACACACACACACACACACACACACACGGTAGAAATCGGTTTCAATAACCTGTGCAATAACGTGACCCTGCCACCAGTACTTAGGATCGCTGAAAAATGTCGGCAGTATTATAAATCCACTAAGTTTTCGTCTCTTTGAAAAGGAGGAGGCATGGTTCCGTGTCAGAATATATTGTTGTTAAATACGACAGCGAGGAAACAGTCGACATCTTTCAGATGGACAACCGTGCAGCACCTAACGCTACGGTAAACATAAAAAACGGTCACTGTTCGTGGGACTGGGATAAGCTGCATGCAAATTCTACTGGAGGAAGCGAAGGCTTCTTTAAAGCATTAAACGTTCTACAATGGCAGCAACAAACACATAGCAATGCTCATCTGCCACTGGTTACACGGTCTTAAAGGTTGCGCCGGTGAAAAAAATGAAGTCATCGGAACACACATATAATGGGCTACCTATAGGTGTGATCTGAATTATATACTGGCAACAAAAATCGCCTCTTTTATGCCTAATAGTCCACCACAAACGCACCAAGTCTCTTCCCACTGGCATCATGCATGTCGGGGAGCAAGACGTCATTTTTTGGGAATGTGAGTTGTCGGCAACAAACAAGAGTGGGCACTAGGAATGAATATTGTTCAGCTAAATATGTAAGTCCACCAAAATTCAATATGCGGCTATGTTCCTAGAGATTATTGTTGGTATATAATGATTCGAATTCAAGTCCAAATAATCCGGGCTGCGCCCGAAAAAGAACAATTGACCCGCGGTGTTCAACCTGTTAAAGCGAACATTTGACCTCGTGCCTTCCAAGTGACAGACAAATCACTGACGCATTCAGCGTTACCACGTGGCCTTATTTCTGCAGGAGCTGGTTGGCACACGTTGTTTTGTCAAGTGATAGCAACACGTCATTGGCCAGACAGCTGTTGTGACTTTGGAATAAGCATCACTCCGCCTCCAGGCTTAGTTAGAATTCAACTAGTTCATGTCGCGTGGTGTTTCGGGCGATTTTGTCGCGTGGTGTTTCGACGGTGGGTCGATATTGGCTGGCACTTATCAACATTACGATACTAGCGCAACCAACCAACCAACCAACCAAGAACTCTGGTTGGCTACGCGTATCACGCTTATCTCGATGAAAAACAAATAATCGTCAGTAAGCAGGCCCCATGAACATCGAACGTTTCCCACCCCATCGCTGTCACGGAATGAAAATATTGTTTTCAGCTCACTTGCTTTTGCCAGCCTTGCTATAAGGAAATATTTTTAGCGCCTCCAGTGGAGTAATGTGGACGAAAGTTGGGCATGAGACTTAGCGATGGGCTGACTTCTGTTGTATGTTTGTATATGTTTGTCAACGTTCTACCACGTGAGCTGTCTACAAGTTATAGAAGATGTGCGGCGTTGGACAACAATTCTTACACCTACGATGCTCGTCGTAAATATTTCAACATGCATACCCTACAAGCAATGAACTGGCAGATGTGAACGTGGAATAAATAATTAATCATGAGAGCATAGTGAGTCACGTATAGTTTCCATATTACTCAAGACACATATTTCCGTCTTAGTTAGGCTTGGTATAAGCTCGCCAGTATTCGTGGTTTCTTGTTAATTTACTGCGTGGTTCGGGCTTAAGAAGTAATTTTCCCACTTGCAAAAGGTTGAAGAGCCAGCCTTCCTCGTATCAGACATTATTAATTTTGTTTAGCATTTAACATCGTTGCTCGACGGCATTCACGAACAATTTATGTTTATAAATGGGCAGATATGTGCACACAGACGCATCAAGGGTAAACGGTGCAATTATCGATTTCAATGCAATCATTACATTTCTTACTCCTCCACCCTGAGCGGTCCACCCTTGTATCCTCACCGCCTGATCCACTGGCGTACTGCCTATGTTCCAACGACGCATCGTTTTCAAGCCTAATTATCGCGGAACCAAGAGACGAACAAAATAAGTGCCGTCCGCGTCCGCACATTGTCCCCATTCAGCTAAGACCAGCAGGGTTTGATTGAGCCCGGAACAACTGCCCCCGGTCCGGAAATGACACGGTTCTGATGTCGACCGCTGCAGCGGAAGTGGATGACTTCCGCCGCCAGCACCAGGAGCGAGGTCACCATGCCGCCCAGCAGGACGGCGAACAGGGGGGCCAGCTGGGTCAAGCCGATGCTGCTCCAGGTAGTTGTGTCCGACTCGCATCTGAACGAGATGAGAGTAATTTTGGCGGTTATCTCGAAATATCATGCTCATAATCACGATCATGATCATGCTCACGAGTACGATCAGTTTCATCAGACGCGCAAAGTTGGTCTATATTCGACGGTCGCACCACCGACGGACGGCACATCCACTGATAGGAAGTCAAGGCATTAAAGGAAGTGGTGCAAAGCAGCTGATAGTGACATGACGGATTTTTGCGTCAGATACGCAGGTCAACGGGCTGAACAGTCAAACTGCAAGATAAATGTGTGCATAGGAGCTTAATGCTGGCTGTTTGTGGAAGAACCCTGCGGAGCAAGCAAAACGTGGTAGCCGCTGGGCTTAATTTGGAAGCGCATTTCGCATGGGGATATTTGACGTCTGGAAAGATGAAAAGGCATCATTATTAAAGACATTTTAAAAAACATTTAAAGACGTTTTAAAAATTCAATTTGAAAGTTATGAAAGATGACAGGAAATGCGGATCAGTTCACTAGTGCAGGAAAGCCGTGGCCTGCTGCAGACGTAATGTCTTGAAACCCGGAGGCATAGGTTTCCAGGTGATGGCCGAGTGGTTGGTGCCATGGACTTAGGGGTCGGGGGCCCGGGTTCGAATCCCTGTTGCGCCATGGCCTAAGCGCCAACACGGTCAATGCGGTCGTTGGCGCTCCATGAAGGAGGGGTGACAACACGTGTCGCCTTCCTTTTAGATCTAAAGAGCATCAATGCCCAGCGTCCATGCATAAATATGTCTTCGGCGTCCATACACAGCAAAGTCGGCGTCCATACACAGCCAACTCAGCCTCCACATATGGCCAAGTCAGCGTTCATACACGGCCAAGTCAGCCTTCATACATGGCCAAGTCAGCGTTTATACACAGCTCAGTTACCCTTCACACATGGCCAAGTCAGCGTTCATACACTGCCAAGCCAGCCTTCACACATGGCCAAGTCAGCATCCATACACAGTCAAGTCAGCCTTCACACATGGCCAAGCCGGCGTTCATACACAGCCAAGTCAGCCCTCACACATTCCCAAGTCAGACTTCACACATGGCCAAGTCAGCGTTCATACACAACCAAGTCAGCTTTCACACATGGCCAAGTCAGCATTCATACATGGCCAAGTCAGAGTTCATACACAGCAACGGCAAGTCCGCACTGGATCACTATAAA